AGTGGTCAGTCCTCCCAGCCAACACCACGTTCAAAGCCATCAATGCCCAGGGTTTCCTTATCTAGTTCCCAACTTTCACTCACACGTCATGGAGGGTGGTGTTAGCATCTCTTTAATTACTCACCTTGATAATTTGTGGTTTCTCTTTTTGTTTTGGTCAATAAATAGCTAGAGTTCACTGATCTTTTTAAAAGCCAGGGCTTGATTTAATCCAGTTTCTTTACTGCTTTCTTGTCTTCAATTTCATTGCTATTTGGTCTTGTCTTTATTATTCCCCCCTTGTTGTTGTTGTTGTTAAGTGCCATCCCCCTTAGCTAAGTTTATTTTACCCTTATTTTTCTAGTGTATTATGGTTAAATGAAGATTTCTGATTGGAAATATTTTTTCTTTTCTCTTATGAGCATATATGGCTATCCATTTCCCCTCTAACACTTGCTGTTGTAAGGTGTTGCCGAGTTGAGTTTGACTTGGGGACCCTATGAACCACAGACCTGAACTCTGCGCTGCTCTGCACCCTCCTCATCCTCTCTGACACAGTCACTGTGTCAATCCATCTTGTTGAAGGCCTTCCTCTCTCTCTGACCCTCTGCCTGGTGTGATGTCCCTTTCCAAGGAACAGTACCTTCTAACAACATGCCCACAGGCCGTGAGACGAAGCTGCCCCAGCCTCGCCTCTGAGGAGCCCCTGGCCACACCTTCCCCAAGACCCACCTGTTTGTTCTTTTGACAGTCCACGGGGTATGCAGCACTCTTCTCCAACACCTCAACTCACCGGCATCAATTCTTCTGTCATCCTTATTCTTTGTGTGGTTGTCAAAAGCATAACAAGTGATTAAAAGAATATGGCTTGAACTGAGTGCACTTTAGTCTTCAAATTGACATTATTACTCCTCAGTAATCTGGTGAGGTCCCTGACAGCAGACTTTCACAGTGCAATATATCTCCTGACTGCTGGTACCACAGGTGCTGATTGTGGATCCAAGTAAGACGAAATAATTGACAATTTTAATACTTTAGCCATCAACATTAAGAAAACAAAGATTCTCACCACTGGGCAGAGAGGCAGCATCATGATAGATGGTGAAGAGACTGAGATTCTTAACAGCTTTAGTTTGCTTGGCTCCACTCTTAGGATCGGCAGCCAGGAAATTAAAAGACGAACTGCTTTGGGAAAGTCTGCTGTCAGAGACCTCTCCAAAGCACCGAAGAGAAATGATGTCAGTCTGAGACTAAGGTGAGTCTGATTCAGGCCATAGTCTTTGCAATTACTTGCTATGTGTCAGAAAGCTTGGCAGTGACTAAGGATGGTAGAAGGAGAATTGATGCCTTTGAGCTGTGGTGCTGGAGAAGAATATTGAGTGTACCATGGACTGCTAGGAGAACAAACAGATTCATCCTGGAGAGGGTGAAACCAGGCTGCTCCTTGGAAGCAAGGATTCTGAGGCTTCATCTGACATACTTTGGACATGTTGTAAGGAAGAACCAGTCCTTGGAGAGGGACATCATGCTTGGGAGGGTGGAGGGACAACGTAAGGGAGGAAGGCCCTCTAGGAGGTGGATTGATTCAGTGACTGGGGTACTGGAGGCAGGTGTGTCGGAGATGGTGAGTTTGCTCAGGACAGAGCAGGGTTTAGGGCTGTTGTACACAGGCTTGCTATGAGTCGCACATAACTCAACTCCACACAACAACAACAATAACAACAACATGATGGGACTCTGGTGGCCTAGTGGTAAGAAGCTGCACTACAATCCCACAAGCATGTATTCAAATTGCTCTGCAGGAGAGAAATGGGCAATCTCCTCCTGTGAGATTAACTGCCTCTGAAAACAGGCTGGAGGGTCAGTTATGGGTCGGTGCCGCTTCAACGGAACACAACAACAACACCGTGAAGTTATTTATTGATCCGGTGTCTGTTGTGACGTTGAATGAAGCCCACATCAAAAGCTGGAATCTTTGATCTCCTGCAGTATTTCAAGCCCTCTTCACTTAGGGCACCACAGTTTTGTCATCTGCGTGATGCAGGCTGTCGATGAGTCTTTCTCCAATCCTGATGTCCCATTCTTCTTCATGAAGTCCAGCTTTGCTCAACATACAGACTGAATAGATCTGGAGAACGGATACCATCGTGACACACATCTTTCCTGATTGTAAACCGTGCCGTGTTCCCGTAAGCACTACTCCACACAGACTGCAGGCTCCATTACACCTCAACGTAAAACCTCCGCCACCCTCACTCACATCGTGCTAAAGGGAGAAACGATTGAAGTTGTCTAGGAGTTAATTTTCCTGGGATCCACAATCATGATACCAAGATGAAGAATGTCAAGTATAAAGACCATTAAATAGAGTGAAAAAAAAACAATTACAAAGGAAGAAACACTGTACCCACCACCACCAGCAGCAGCTAGAGAAAGGTTTACACACTGTGGGACATTCTGGTACTGTTTACCAGGAGGGGAATAGGAGGGAAGGAGGAAATAATAGATAATCATCACTTATTAAAATTATTGAATAGAATGATGAGCGCATCCACAGCTGCATCTGTTAATTGAAATAAGTCAATTGTTATCCCATCAATTCCTCGGGCCTTATTTTTTGCCAGTGTCTTCAATGCAGCTTCCACTTCCCCTTTCATTACCATTGAGTCCTGTGCATATAGTACTTCCTTTAATTTTTCAGTGTCAATCAATTCTTACTGGTACAGTGACTCTGTGTATTCCTTCCATCTTCTACTGATGATTTCTGGGTCATTCTGTATCTTTCCATAGGATCTTTTAATATTGTGACATGAGGTTTAAGTTTGTTTTTCAGTTCTTCAAGCTTGAGAAATGCAGAGCGAGCTCTTCCCTTTTTATTCTCCAGTTTCAGCTCTCTGTACATTCCATTGTAATGCTTCATTTGTCCTCCTGGGCTGCCCTTGAAATCTTCTGTTCAGCTCTTTCACTTCAACGTGCTTTCCTTTTGTTTTGGCTTCTTGAAGCTCCAGTGCAATCTTTAGAGTCTCTTCTGACATCCGTTTCGATTTTTTCTTTTCCTCTGTTTTTGTAATGACCTTTTTCTGTCTTCATGGATGAAGCCCTTGATGTCATCCCACAACTCATCTGGTCTTCAATCATTGGTTATCAGTGCCTCAAACCTATTCTTAAGATGATCTTGAAATTCAGATAGAATTGATTCAAGATCATGTCTTGGTTCCAATGGACTTATTTTAATTTTCTTAATTTGGAGGATAGCTATCTGGTCAGCAGATTGGAAGAGGTCCATATTTGTTCCCATTCTCAAGAAAGGTGATCCAACCAAATGTGGAAACTATTGAACAATATCATTAATATCACTTGCAAGCAAAATACTGCTGAAGACCATTAAAAGTGGTTAGAACAGTACATAGAGGGAACTGCCAGTAATTCAAGCAGGATTTATAAGAGGCCATGGCACTGGGGATATAATTGCTGATGTCAGATGGATCCTGGCTGAAAGTGAAAAAAAAATACCAGAAAACGGTATGTATTTGTGCTTTATTGAGTATGCAAAGGCATTTGACTGTGTGGATCATGACAAGTTGTGGCTGACAGTGAGAAGAATGGGAATCCCAGAGCACTGAACTGTGGGGAACCTATACCTGGACCAGGAGGCTGTTGTGTGAACAGAGCCTGGGAACACTGCATGGTTTAAAACTGAGAAAGAAGTGTGTTGGGGTTGTATTCTCTCTGCATAACCATTCAATCTGTATGCTGAGCACGTTTTGTGAGGAGCTGGACTCGGTGAAGAAGAGTGTCACGTTAGGATTGGATGTGTCACGTCAGGATTGGATGTGTTAGGCAGATAATACAACCTCGCTGCTGAAAGTGAGCAGGACTTGAAGCTCTTGTTGCAGAAGGTCAAGGCTGCAGCCTTCAGTGTGGATGGCATCTCAATGTCAAGAAAACAAAGATTCTTGCCACTGGACCAATAGGCAGCATCATGATGGATGGAGAGGAGATTGGAACTGTCAACAGCTTCCTCTTGCTTGGATCCATGATTAACACCCTTGGTACTAATAGTCAGGAGATAAGGAGATGGATTGCACTGGGAAAATATGCAGTTAGAGACCTCTCCAAATTATTGAGTGAACAATGTAAACCCCACTGGGCACAGGGGCGGGACTGAGTCCAGTCACAGGGTGAGGCAGCTCCGGGCAGCTTCCCTCCGTGGTGAGTGAGGTGCTCCGAGCCAGGGACCAGTTTCAAGGCAGCTAATGACGCTGGGAAAGGTCTGGTAGCCTAGTAGTAAGAAACTACCCTGCAATCCCAAAGGCACACAGTTCGGATCCACGGGGTAAAGACGGGCAGTCTCCTCGCCCTGAAGCCCTGCTGCAGGGCCAGCTTTGAGTGGACTCCGATGCGACTTCTTCCGTCAGCAACACTGATGCTGGGAAGTCCAGGGCGGGCCAGAACTGACCCAGCAGCAGTGCGTGGCTGAAATGCGCCGGACTCCCGGGAGCGTGGGACATTAGTGCAGTGTCCCTGTGACAACCCAGGTGAGGCGCTGAGTCCCCTTGCGAGGAGCAGTGGCCCGAGGCCGGGGAGGCCGGAGCCTGGCAGCACGTGTGTCATCCTGAACAGGTCTCCTGAGAAGACGGCGTCTCACGCCCTGACCTCCCTGCACTCTGCAGCCTGAACTCTCGTGTGGCGTGGGGACAGCCAGGGGGCCTGTGTCAAGAACACAGAGCCCGAGTGGGCTGTCTCCATGAACAGCACCTCTAAGGGCCTCCTGACTCTGCCTGGGCGTGATCACAAAGCAGGGGGCCTTCCGCTGGCGGGGGGCTTAGCTGACTGACAGTGGAGGCTGGGCCTCCCGGAGCATGTGGGAGAAAGCACTGGCCGTGGGAAACCCCATTGGGCCTCTGGCACACAGAGCACAGCTCGCCAGTACCGGCCTGGCCGGGCCCGTGGGGACCTCAGCACATCTGTGTAGACAGGAGCCTGGAGCAGCTGGTGCTCGCAGACTGTTGGCCTTTCAGATCTCAGGGGCACGAGCACTCTACGTGAGAGTCACCGTGTTGACTCGGGGTACCGGCAGAGGCAGGGGACGCCCCGGGGAGAGGACACCCGAGTCATCAGGGATGTGCTGGACCAGGCTCCACCTGGACCTTCTGCTTTGGAAGGTCAGCTTTTCCACTCGTGTGTGGATGAGATCTCCAGATCTGGGGGCCCTGCGGACAGCCGAGTAGAGGGGCTGGGAAAGGCCGAGAGGGTGAGGGTGAGGACACTTACAGAGAAGGGTCCTGTCCTGGCCAGTGAGCTCCCCAACAGCTCTGTCGGACACTGTAGCCCTGTAGGCCACGTGTCATGGACAGGGCCCGCTGGTCTCCTGAGAGGGTATTAAGATGACCAGCAGCCGGCTGGCCCTGGTAGGGGAGGGAGGTGGTCTCCACGTCTGTCAAGCATCCTAGAAAACTGAGCTGAGACACAAAGGGTGGTCCTGCAGTCAGCCTGCCTGCCCACCCAGGGGCCCGGCTGTGACGGGGCTCCACAGTCAGACACTGCTCCCCACCCTCACACTCAGCCTGGCCGCTACCCTGCACATCCGGGTCATGCTGTCCACCCCCCAGAGGAACAGGACATGAGCATAGAGTGGGCTCTGGGGGCAAGGATGGGGAACCCCAGGCCGGATGCTGGCCTGCTTCCTGGTGAGGGTCCCAGTGTCTGTGGTCAGGAGTCTGAGAGACCAAGAACCAGAGGGAGAGAGGCCTCCTGTTTGTGTTGTGGGACAGAGGTCAGAGAACATTCTAGAAGACGGAGGGATGCTGTGCCTTGAGACAGTGCAGGGGCCATTGAAGGAGCCTCTGTGTGCCTGAGGGTGTGGGGGTGATGGGGCCATGGTGGATTTGTGGGCACGCACCCAGGATCCTCGGCCCCCCGGGTTGCAGGCACGTGGTCCATAAAGGCTGGCTTAGAGGGTAAGGAGGAGCTGAGGGACAGGCAGCCCCAGAAGACAGCCCGCTCAGCTGTGGGTGCTGGGTCGTGGGGGCCTGGAGACCTCTTCCATGGACAAGTATGTGCCATTCACTCTGGCCCCTGGCAGCTCACAGGAGGATGGGCCCATTGCTGCCCGCTTGGCCAGCTGAGAGGACAAGTTATGAGCCCATGATGGGGCTGCAGGGCCAGGGTGGGTGGGGCTGGGTGGACCCCTGAGGAGGGCAGGGCATGGACATCTCCACTCTTTGAAGGGTCAATGTCTTCCAGGGTGAATGGTCACTGTCGACGTGTACAAAGCCTTCAGATGGGAGCAGACATGCCCAGCAGCTGCTCATGAGAGGACACGGGGAGGGAGCACCCCAAAACATCCAATAGCCACAATGCCTGTGAAGGGGGACCCTGAGGAGGAGCACCCCACGTGGAAGCCTCGTGCTGCCAGGAGGAGGTGTGCTCAGAATTCTGGGGCTCCAACAATGGGGCTCAGGGTGGGTACGCGCCTGGGGTCAGGTGAGGGACACCAGGGAGGCACAGTGGTCATAAGGCTGTCCCCACAGGTCCCCGAAATGAGGACCCTGAGCCTTGTCCCTCTCTGGCCAGACAGCGGGCTCCTGTGTCTGTGGGACCGTGAAGAAGATGCCAGTGAAGGACCAGCTTATACAACAAAGGCGACCTCCACGGGCCTTCAGAACCACCAGCCTCCGGGAGCGTGCGCCCCTCCACGCGCCAGCGCGTGGGGACTCACCCCACCAGCACCTGGATGCGGCACCCACCTGCTGGCTAGAGCTTGCGGTCTTCATGGTGACCCCCACCCAGGGCCCCCTCCTCTCCTGAGCAGGCAAGTGGACGTCTGACCAACGCCCTGGGAGAGTTGAAGTTCACACAGCGCAAAGGATTCTCGACGGAGCCTTCCGTCCAGGGCAGACGGCTGAGGCTGTGCCCCAGGCCTCTCCAAGGACAGGTGCTGCTCCCCTCAGTGGTACCAGAGTCACTGTCAGTGCCAGGAGGCCGGGCCTGCTCACCACGTTCTGGCCACCAGTGGCCCCTTGTCCCAGCAGAGGGCTGTCGTCCTAATGCGTTTGTGGTGAGGGGTAGGGGACATGTGTCCTGCACAGATAAGTGATGGTCCTGGGCCTGGAAGGTATTGGAGGCAGGGGATCTTCTGTCCTGAGGGCATCTCTCGGGGTTAGTCCTTCAAATGCCAGCATCTGAGACATTTTGAGAGTCGTCACCCCACACCCCAGGAGTGCTCCCCCTACCCTGCACACCTGGATGCAGCTTCTAGGTCCTACGTAACGTCCACCTCCCCACTTCACACCCTGCAGAGGCTCTCCTCCAGCCCTGCACAGTGCTTGCCTGGCCGCCCTCACCCTTCCCCATTCTCCCCTGCACCCCAACAGGTGCTACCAGCCCACCAGGCACCCCCACCCCACCAGGCACTCCCCC